AGCCTTCGCTATGGGCGTGACCCTTCACCCCTTATCACCCCATTAGCGTTTAGGGTGGGTTAATCATTTACAACCGGATGCATAACTCCTTTCACATACAATTAATAATATTAATCACTTTTTCTGTTGCATATAACTATTATATTTCAGTAATTTTTGCTCCTTTCGTCACGAAAGTTTTAATGATGATTACAAAACAGGAAAGCAACATTTCAGTCGGCCTACTGGCATGACAGGTCCTATTTACATCACAGTTCCTTCGACTCCTGTGTCCTTTCCACCTCTCAACTTACTACAGAGTCACCGACTCCTATAATGTTAATCCTGTCCACTGCGAACCCTTCGTTATGCTGCTTGGTGTGATAGATTATATGCTGGTATCCCTCCCGTCTCTACCATCCATCCTATTATATACTGCGGGAGTATACTCTATGGGTCTTCGTCTATCAAGAGATTGTAAACTTGGTACATACTGTGGTAGATAAGCAGCCTTACAGGGAGGGTTCTACAGGGAGGGTTCTACAGGGAGGGTTCTACAGGGTCCTACAGAGAGGGTCCTACAGGGAGGGTCCTACAGGGAGGGTCCTACAGGGAGGGTCCTACAGGGAGGGTCCTACAGGGAGGGTCCTACAGGGAGGGTCCTACAGGGAGGGTCCTACAGGGAGGGTTCTACAGGGAGGGTTCTACAGGGAGGGTCCTACAGGACCAGTATCTAATATTAATAGAAATAAAGCACATCACAATCTTTTTATGAACAGTAAATCCTTAAAATGTATTTAAATATTTCAGTTGTCGCTGATGGTGGTGTTGGTGGTGGCCCTGGCCGCCCTGATGGGGTCAGCCCGAGCCATGCCTGACCCCTACGCCCTGGCCGACCCTGACCCCGCGGCTGACCCACAGTTTGGTTTCGGCCGGCGAGGTTTCGGCGGAGGTTTCGGCCGAGGTTTCAGACGAGGTCGTTTCTTTGGTTAATGTGATCCCGTACTCTCCGTGACCAACAGTTTCCTATCAAGCACAACAAACATCCGGCCAGAAAATATAGAAACCCAAAATTGTGAAATAATGAAATTGTGAAAAGTGTGATCAAGAGCTTTAATGTCCTGTCTCGGCAGTAACAAATTGATTGATCAGCTTTTAGGAACTTTGGTACAATGCTTCCATAAATATATGCATTTATAAGTATTGGAATATAATTAATATCCTATGCAAATATGTACTCAATGAACAAATTCAATCAATCATCTAAGAACATTTACCTAGATTCCACAGGTACAGTTCGTTAGGGAACAAGAACATAACCATTTTCAATGTACTTCGTTTTGTCGATGACAGGAAGACTGTGTATATACATAATTTAGGCCTATATTGTCACACTAATGACCTTACCCAGGATGTAAATCCTTCAAAGTTTGCCTAAGTCCACTATACCTTTGTACTGCTAGGTGAACAGAGGCATTAGGCACTACTGCCCACGGAATGGGTATGGGAGTGCACTACCACCCACGGGATGGGTATGGGGTCCACTACCACCCACGGGATGGGTATGGGGTCCACTACCACCCACGGGATGGGTATGGGGTTCACTACCACCCACGGGTATGGGGTCCACTACCACCGACGGGATGGGTATGGGGTTCACTACCACCCACGGGATGGGTATGGGGTCCACTACCACCCACGGGATGGGTATGGGGTCCACTACCACCCACGGGATGGGTATGGGGTCCACTACCACCCACGGGATGGGTATGGGGTCTACTACCACCCACGGGATGGGTATGGGGTTCACTACGACCCTCGAGATGGGTATGGGGTCCACTACCACCCACGGGATGGGATGGGGTATGGGGTCCACTACCACCCACTGGATGGGTATGGGGTCCACTACCACCCACGGGATGGGTATGGGGTCCACTACCACCCACGGGATGGGTATGGGGTCCACTACCACCCACGGGATGGGTATGGGGTCCACTACCACCCACGGGATGGGTATGGGATCCACTACCACCCACGGGATGGGTATGTCATGCATAAAAAATGAACAGAATCAATCCCGGACTCTTATCCGTGATTAATCTAGGACTCTAAGCAGTTAACATTTCCAGTGGAACCCGACCTTTACGTCTGGCAGCGCTGCAACAGAGGTCACTAGGTCCAGTACACAACGCTCTCCCGGAATACAGAAGAGCTTAGCTCATTGTTTACAAGAGTTTGCAACATGATGCAACTAAGGTTACGCCACATTGCAATGTTGAGGATCAATATAATATATGGCTCCGGTGAACCTAGATAACGGCACTGTCTTCACCTTGCTGATCAGCCATAAGTATACTGTAGTACTGAACTAAGTTCGAGATTACAGTAAACCTCTAGCTGTAAACTCGAGAAAATCAGAAGTAGCCAGGAGGAGGATTCGAACCAATGCTCTAGGGTACTCCCAAGCTCACCCATCAGACCACTAGAACACGACATGGTCAAAAGTATTGCAACCTGAAATTCACCTGAAGCCTCTAGGGTTCATCTAGGGTTCACTGAAGCCTAAGCAGGGCTTCACACAATTCCCCCCCCCCCCCGTGCGCTCTGGCTTGTGGTCTGGGAATTCTATCTCCCACGCTTCTCTTCAAACACACAAAAAATCGTATTAAATTAAGAAATCCACAAGTTCCGTGACGAGGATTCGAAAGAAATCGTATTAACGTGATGTACAAAGATTCGAATCTTCCTCATATTAATTTTCTCATTGATCTATCATGTTGATTACTTTGTAATCGCTAGTTAACAATCTTAACTAGTATCAAGGCGTTCGTGAGTTTATTGATGATAGAGGTAAAAGCAATTATGAGGAGAAAGCGCTAAGCCAGTATGGCTTTATGACACTTGCAAGGAATATGAGGACCCGGAGCTGGGGTATGAGGACCAGGAGCTGGGGTATGAGGACCCGGAGCTGGGGTATGAGGACCAGGAACTGGGGTATGAGGACCCGGAGCTGGGGTATGAGGACCAGGAGCTGGGGTATGAGGACCAGGAGCTGGGGTATGAGGACCAGGAGCTGGGGTATGAGGACCAGGAGCTGGGGTATGAGGACCAGGAGCTGAGGACCAGGAGATGGGGTATGAGGACCAGGAGCTGGGGGTATGAGGACCAGGAGCTGGGGTATGAGGACCAGGAGCTGGGGTATGAGGACCAGGAGCTGGGGTATGAGGACCAGGAGCTGGGGTATGAGGACCAGGAGCTGGGGTATGAGGACCAGGATCTGGGGTATGAGGACCAGGAGCTGGGGTATGAGGACCAGGAGCTGGGGTATGAGGACCAGGAGCTGGGGTATGAAGACCAGGAGCTGGGGTATGAGGACCAGGAGCTGGGGGTATGAGGACCAGGAGCTGGGGGTATGAGGACCAGGATCTGGGGTATGAGGACCAGGAGCTGGGGTATGAGGACCAGGAGCTGGGGAATAAGGAATGAATCGACGTTACCCAACCACTTGGATCATCGGGGATCGAACGAGGACCCGGCCAGTAGCCAGCCAATCCAACTGGTTGGGGCTACCTACTAACGAGTAAATAGGTCCCCAGGCGTTCGACAGCTGTTACGGGCTGCTTCCTGTGTGTGTGTGTACTCACCTAGTTGTACTCACCTAGTTGTGTTTGCGGGGGTTGAGCTCTGGCTCTTTGGTCCCGCCTCTCAACCGTCAATCAACAGGTGTACAGGTTCCTGAGCCTATTGGACTCTATCATATGTACACTTGAAACTGTGTATGGAGTCAGCCTCCACTACGTCACTGCCTAATGCATTCCACTTGTTAACTACTCTGACACTGAAAAAGTTCTTTCTAACGTCCCTGTGGCTCATTTGGGTACTCAGTTTCCATCTGTGTCCCCTTGTTCGCGTACCACACGTGTTAAACAGTTTATCCTCATCTACCCTGTCAATTCCTCTGAGAATTTTGTAGGTAGTGATCATGTTTCCCCTTACTCTTCTGTCTTCCAGTGTCGTGAGGTGCATTTCACGCAGCCTTTCCTCGTAACTCGAGCCTCTTAGTTCTGGGACTAGTCTAGTGGCATACCTTTGGACTTTTTCCAGCTTCGTCTTGTGCTTGACAAGATACGGGCTCCATGCTGGGGCCGCATACTCCAGGATTGGTCTTACATATGTGGTGTACAAGATTCTGAATGATTCCTTACACAGGTTCCTGAACGCTGTTCTGATGTTAGCCAGCCTCGCATATGCCGCAGACGTTAGTCTTTTTATGTGGGCTTCAGGAGACAGGTTTGGTGTGATATCAACTCCTAGATCTTTCTCTCTGTCCGTTTCATTAAGTACTTCATCTACTATTCTGTATCCTGTGTCTGGCCTCCTCTTTCCACTGCCTAGTTTCATTACTTTGCATTTACTCGGGTTGAACTTCAACAGCCATTTGTTGGACCATTCACTCAGTCTGTCTAGGTCATCTTGTAACCTACTATCATCCTCAGTTTCAATCCTCCTCATAATTTTTGCATCATCGGCAAACATTGAAAGAAACGATTCTATACCCTCTTGGAGATCATTTACATATATCAGAAACAGTATAGGTCCAAGGACTGACCCCTGCGGGACTCCACTCGTAACGTCTCGCCAATCCGAGACCTCACCCCTCACACTGACTCGTTGTCTCCTGTTGCTTTGGTACTCCTTTATCCAATGGAGTACCTTCCCTTTCACTCCAGCCTGCATCTCCAGCTTTTTCACTAACCTCTTGTGTGGCACTGTATCAAAGGCTTTCTGACAATTCAAAAATATGCGTATGCGTGTGAGTGTGCGTGTGTGTGTGTGTGTGTGTGTGTGTGTGTGTGTGTGTGTGTGTGTGTGTGTGTGTGTGTGTGTGTGTGTGTGTGTGTGTAAAAAAAGTTGATTGACAGTTGAGAGACGGGCCGAAAGAGGAGAGCTCAACCCCCCCCCCCCTCCCCGGCAAGCACAACTAGGTGAATACAAGATTGCGGCCGTGTGGAGGTAGTGGGGCAGGTCATCACTGTGGGTATATAAGGACCTGCCCACCGTCATCCTAGTACAGGCCACGTGAAGTTGTCACTTTGTGAACACCTCTCTTACAAACATGAGATCTGTGAGTACACCCTTCAAGACTGTCTGTCAGCATAATCCATCCTCATCCCCCTCACTACGCTCTTAAACTGATTCTTTCTCAGTCAGCGGTCTCAATCACTTCACTTCCGATGCTTATGATATTATTCAGCTTAATGTTGCATTTAAACTTCCTTGAAGCATGTTTTTGCGATGATGCCTTTGTAACCAAGAGATGATGAGTGATAATTCCATATATCAACTAAGATTACAGATCAAATATATGAGTGCTAAAATACTTCCTAATTTTAAGTTCATTATCAGTTGGTCGTCGAATATATCAATGAATTCGTAGAGTTCGGGTAATACAGAACAGGTCCCAAGAACACTTAACATTTCTCATGTAAACAGGTTAGACTCGTCACATTCTTCTTAGCCCCAAATAAAAAGTAACTTTTGTTCATCATTATTGCAGCTGTGTCTGATGTTGGTGGTGGTGACCCTGGTCGCCCTGATGGGGTCAGCCGGAGCCATGCCTGACCCCTACGCCCTGGCTGACCCTGACCCCGCAGCTGACCCACAGTTTGAAGAGCTTCACAATTTTGGTCGGAGTTTCGTTCGGGGTCTTATTCGCAGTATTGGAAACCCCCTCAGATTATAGTTAACCTTATAACCTGTTGCCCGTGACCGACAGTTTCCTCCCAGTCGAAGGATTTTGTCTGGCAAACGGCCAACCAAATGTTTACTTTACTGACAACCTCCAGCTTTTGTCTACTGGAGGAAGCTGGATTAATCTACTGAAGCAACTTTCTCTATCATCTTCTGAACCTTCAGCATCTTCCCAGCAACCAGCAACTTCCAGCATCTCCAAATCCTGCATCATGTTACACTTCCAGCACCTCCACCATGATACCTGGTTACCTGGTTGATGGGGTTCTGGGAGTTCTTCTACTCCCCAAGCCCGGCCCGAGGCCAGGCTTGACTTGTGAGAGTTTGGTCCACTGGGTGCTGGGGTAGCTGGAAATTGGTAGTTTAGTAGTTTATCAACTGTTGAACCGAATATTTTGATAAATATATATATTTTCTTACATAATTTTCTATTTTGGCTCCTATCAAAATTTCACAATTCAAGCTCATTGTCAAGCCTATGTCTTAGGCTTACAAAGTCACCAGAGTTTGGACACAACACAGTAGTACTCAAATTCATATTGGGCAATATAGCAACATACTATTGTAAACACACACACTAGTAATACGATTTAAATACACGCACACGCTGGTTCTATTAATGCACTCATACACACTGATATAGAGCCAATTCGCCTGATATAAATTTAGAACAATTTACCAAGCACTGAATATTGCAATCATATTAGAGCAAGAAAATGTGTTCACTGTCGTTGACTGTCAATTAATGGGTTTATCACTGTGTTCAGTGCATCAATTGCAACATTGATGAACATCTGTGTCAAGTGCCATCAGTAATAACATTAATAAACATGAGTTTAGTGCCAACAACAGCAACATTGATGACTCTAAATGCCATCAGTTTAGTGCCAGTAACTGCCATTTAGTGCCTTCAATGTTGCCAATAACAATATTGATGGCACTAAATGCAATCTGTTTAGTGAAATCAATAACAACGTTGATAAACATCTGTGTTTAGTCCCATGATAAGTCTCGCTTTGTTGACTTACATGACAAAATCCACGCATATATTAGCTTCACATATTATATCTATAATAGGTTTACTATATTATAAATAAGATACAAGGACAAGGAGCTGATACATGAGGACAAGAAGCTGGTACATGAGGACAAGGAGCTGGTACATGAGGACAAAGAGCTGGTACATGAGGACAAGGAGCTGGTACATGAGGACAAGGAGATGGTACATGAGGACAAGTAGCTGGTACACGAGGACAAGGAGCTGGTACATGAGGACAAGGAGCTGGTACACGAGGACAAGTAGCTTGTACATGAGGACAAGGAGCTGGTACATGAGGACAAGGAGCTGATACATGAGGACAAGGAGCTGATACATGAGGACAAGGAGCTGGTACAAGAGGACAAGGAGCTGGTACATGAGGACAAGGAGCTGGTACATGAGGACAAGGAGCTGGTACATGAGGACAAGGAGCTGGTACATGAGGACAAGGAACTGGCACACGAGGACAAGGAGCTGGTACATGAGGACAAGTAACTGAGATATGAGGACAAGACAGAGCTGGGATATGAGGACAATAAAGTGGAACATGAGGACAATAAGGTGGGATATGAGGACAGGGTCAAGGAGTGGAGACTATCCACTTGGACCATCAGGGATCGACTTATAAACTAATAAAAATCGAGATAACCCACAAGAAAGTAATATAAATAATGCATTTCATAAACAGACAAGACATATGTCCGAGCATTAATAAAAGTTTGGATTCAGGACTTGATATTTTGGTGCAAAAAAATAAGTTTTATTTCCTATATTATTATATCAATTAAAAAAATAGCAATTTTACGTTATAAATTTATATGTCAATCCAAAAGACAAAGTTTTTTCTTCAGAACTTAAAATGTCAGAACTTAAGTCAATTAAGGGGGAATTTTCCCATGAAATAATTTGTATTATACAGTTTTAAATCCCAAGTGAAATCCTCTTGACATTTTATATAAATCCAGAGATGAGATAGATTTAAAGCTGACTGGACAATATTACATTATTTAACTGACTTAAAGTCACAGAAATACTTTAAATACTTGTAAAACATTAATTCATATTCTGGGCGAATGAAGAATTAATGGATTTAAACGTTTCAAATAGAAATATTGCAGTTATAACGTTAGTCAGGGCAGGAGACGTAAGACTTGCGTTCAACGCAGTCATTTTGAATATTCTATTCTAGCGATGTTGGTCGGGTTATTCGGACATTGAAACATTGATTGTAACAATGATATGATATATACAATGATATATACGTGCTTCAGCCTACAGTTTAGACCTATTGTCTTGTGTATGACCCTCTGTCCTGCGTGTCTGAATACCAGCATTATCATCACTCTAATAAGACCTAATTGAAATTCCTCAGATTAGGCAAAATTGTAATTAAATTTTGACAATAAAAATGTTAATAAGTTAATAATAATAAGGGACTTAAACGCTTAAAATTTTAATGTTGACTGGTCTGTGATCATTCACTATTAGGCCAGGTTAAGATGGGTTAGAATGGGTGAGGATAGCTTACGTTAGGTTAGGTTTAGTTCATCTGGGATGGGTTAGGTTAGGCTAGATTAAAGTGAGATATGTTTGGCTCGGTTATATTAAACACTTAAAACTTCCAGCACTAAAAAAAGATGTTGTTGTTGTTATTTTAGATCTAGTTACTGAGAACACCAAGTTGCAAGTAGCACGGGCTATGGGGAGCCCGAAATTGACTTCCTAGGACAGAAACGGGGCTGTAACTTGTAAAAAAAGAGCTTAGACCCTGATAACAGACACAAAGGTCGTCTACTCCTGTATCCACCAACGTAACACAAAAAAAAAATCTAAAAAATTAAATAAGAACTGTAGTACGCGATATTTTACAGTATATATGAGCTTAGCTCACCTTATAAGCCTAACACCTAGCTTACGGCATGTTGGGTTAAGTCCAACGGTATCTTAGACACAAATAGCGGAACGCCCTTGCAAGCGTCTGTAGGAGACCGCTCCGGTGAACTATGATAATCAGCGAACTATGATAATAATGGCACCTTCCTCGCCGACTGATTCCTGGTATAAGACGCCACAACGTCTTAACGTACAAAACGAGATGAATTTATTGGTTAAATTTTTCAGAGGATCTGTCGTAAGACGTTTTCTGACTCCAGGTACTGTCGGATTTCTTCAATTATTGTACGTGTCGAAGCTTTCATTGGTGATAGGCGTCTAGTGATTGGGGGACAGGCGTCCAGTGATTGGGGGACAGGCTCTAGTGATTGGTGACAGGCGTCCAGTGATTGGTGACAGGCGTCCAGCGATTGGGGGACAGGCGTCCAGTGATTGGTGACAGGCGTCTAGTGATTGGGGGACAGGCGTCTAGTGATTGGGGGACAGGCGTCTAGTGATTGGTGACTGGCGTCTAGTGATTGGTGACAGGCGTCCAGTGATTGGTGACAGGCGTCTAGTGATTGGGGGACAGGCGTCCAGTGATTGGGGGACAGGCGAATAACTTGACAGTTTACACCCTTTAAAAATATAAACTTTTCAATCAAGACTTCATCAAAATGCTTCCTGTGAAGGCGACCAATCGCGTCTTCCGGCATAGCAAGTTTGTACCTACTAAACTGAACATAAAGTAAACCATAGAGGTTTAAGGGGGCAATGATAATGCCTCTTATCTCTAGTGATGGTTTCCCCGAGTTTACTTGTATTATGAAAGAGCTTAGTTATGAATTATGAGCTTAATTATCAATTATGAGTTCATCATTCCGAGAAACTGTGTTTTAGCATTGCGAAATTTAAATCAATATATCTAACATATTTGAGGGAATATTCCAGATTTGAGTGACTTATCAGAAAGAAGAACAAAGGGGGTTCTGTAATATATATTTATCATGAATAACTGTAAGTTAAGGTAATGTATTTATCAAGAGAATGTGTTAGACTTGTATGAGGATATATGGCAGGACAGGCGCACGGAGAGGATGTCAAAGATGGACACCCATTCCCTTATACACCTAAGGATCGAACCCTGTTTGTGCGTGATGCGAAGTCGTTGCTGTACCAACCGGTTCAAGTGGATGGCCATTATATTTTCGTTAGTATGAATAGGGAGGGATTGATAATGTTGGGCATCACTTGGTCAGTTCCGGAAAGGACTCTTGGTTCTGTTCAATAACAGAATTAATAAAGGCGCTGTCATCACAGACTATGCATCGGAGGACATAGATAGCAGACGTATCTGTATAAGTCCCTAATAATGTTAAACAAGAATACTTTTAATGGAAATAATGGTGAAGGGGGATCACTATTATACCATAATCACACATTTTTAAATTGAAGAAATATTCTTGTTTTAAATAAGTGAATCTAAATTACGAAGTATTGAACTTATTTTTTTTCTTCAACTTTAACTGTTTGACTATATGCTTTTTATCGTCTAAATAAAAACTGCATTCAAATACAGTAAGAATATCCAGGGTTATCCCTGAGTGAGGTCCCTCAGCCTTCAGGACACAAGATGGCGGCCGTGTGGAGCTGGAGAGAGGTAGTGGGGCAGGTCATCACTGTGGGTATATAAGGACCTGCCCACCGTCATCCTAGTACAGTCCACGTGAAGTTGTCACTTTGTCAACACCTCTCTTACAAACATGAGATCTGTGAGTACACCCTTCAAGACTGTCTGTCAGCATCCTTCATCCTCATCCCCCTCATTACGCTCTTAAACTGATTCTTTCTCAGAAGTTTCAAATCCTCCAATTTCGATGATTTTGATGAATTATTCAGTTAACTGCTGCAATTTAAACGAAATATTCAGATTTCATTATTTTCACTAAGAAAGTTTTTTCAGTGATGTGTTTATATTTCAAAGTGATCGTCTCCACTCTGATGGCGTTGTTAATGACTGACGAGTCGTCAGGTCCCCTGAGAACAAGCACACAAACTATTTTAGACCCATTGAGAGGCAAATCCTCATCACCAAATTATTGAACACGTAAGAATTCATCTGACAGATTAGGTCCCACAGTTTAGATCCAACGAAATCTAGCATCTTGTTCATCTAAATAGACAACCCGTTCTCGCACTTTCTTACAGTCAATATTAATATTGACTTATTAAATAAGTGCATATGTGACATACTAATTTATTGTGAATATTTTAGTTTACCTTGAAAAGCTTCATAGAAAACACCGACCTTACCTAACCTTCTTAGTATGTTAAGATAAGCATCTTATTGCTTTGTAATTACAATTATTACTTAACCTATTATAGGTATAGGTTAAGTAATCGAGGTATAGGAATCTATTATAGGTATAGGTTAAGTAATAATTGTAATTACGAAGCAATAAGATGCTTATCTTAACATACTAAGAAGGTTAGGTAAGGTCGGTGTTT